CTTGAACCCTGACTGCATGCAGATCCCTGGCGAGGCCACACAGGTGCAGATTCTGACTCAGCTGATGTTCTTGTCCACAGGCCACTCTCTAGGGAGCACCCTCCACCCAGGGGTAGGGAAGACACAGGACTTGTACCTTTGTGCAAGCATTTAGATGCCAGGCAGCAGTGTGACAGGTAAAAGATGAAACCCTTCTGCATTAGCCCCTGGCTTTCTTTGGACGGAGGCACTAAAGAAGCAGTACATTACAGACGCTCCCAAACCACGAGAAGCAGGGAGCTGACGGGCTGCTTCCAGCCACTAAGGAGGGAGCAATTTGCAGACTCCTGCAGGCAGGTGAGGTGTGGGGGTCTCCACCTCCACTGACTGTTTCTGTGGCGCCATCCGAAGGCCAGGTGGTCGGACTCGGGAGAAATGAGGAATTCCTCGTTTCGAATCAGCACGCTTTCCTTGCAGGGTGTGGAAGCCAGCTTTTGTTCAGGTGGAACCTCAGTGGGGGAGGGCATGAGGCACAGTCAACCCTGCGCACAGGACAGCACGAGGCATGAGAACGACGGTCTCTGGAGGTAAGCACCGGCAGGAGTCTTACACCCAGGGCCGGGGTCCCGCACCCTGAGGTGGAGACGTGCACGTGCGTGACTAAGGAAGCCACCGTCAGCGCATTCATTGTCGCTCACTCGTCCAGGCGCTCGGCAGGGCGCACCTCTGTGGCAGACACTGTCGTCGGAGCTGGGGATACGGGCGAGAACCACCTGCCACAAACACCCAAACCACGCTTTGGGCACTGAGGCCAGAGATGTTGGTCCTATGCTTTCCCCTCTCTGTGAGACAACACAGGACATAAGGGATTTACAGCACTGTGTCCCTAACTTGGTGAGAACCCAGGTGCCCCCACCCCAATCTGCTGTAGATTGACACTTTAATAAAATACAATAGAATTTACTAAAAAAATGAAAATTTAAAAGCCACAAAGATAAACAGAACACAAATCCCAATATTTTACAATTAGATTCAACAGACGATGATCATTGCTTTAAGAGGGGTGGGGGCCTAAAATCTTCCTTTCATTTCTGTCCATCTCCTAGCAGACTGGGGACAAACCGCTTGCAGACAAGCTTACTCCCTAGGCTAGCTTTGGGTCGAACTCATTCAGAGCGTGGACTCCAGGGTTAGCTGCCCGGGTTTGAATGACAGTCCTGGTACTTGCTGGCTGCGTGACCACAGGCGAGTTTTATAATTTCACTGTTTCTGTTTCCTCCCCAGTTTCCACCTCCGCAAAGCTGTTGCTCATAGATGTAAAACTCAAGTCAAAACCTTTAAGGCTCGCAGAAGAGTCTGGCTCATAGCAAATGCTACTCAAGTGTTAGCTGCGATCATCGCTACTGTCCACTGCTGTGAATGCTGTACTCCCTGCTTCTAGTACTTCCAGTACTGTGCTGCTCTATCATTTTTGGCTAACCCAAAACAGCTCCTTCACCTACAAAACGGTGCTTGCAACCTCTTCCCTTCCACGAATCTGGTGCCGAGACAGGGAGAGAACCCACATGGAGGCACACGACCGCCACGGCCATGGCCCCTTCTCACCGACTCCCTGTGCCGCCAGGATTCCATCTCCGAGGGGGAAGGGCAGAGTCCGGGGTTCGCTGCGTCTGCACATCATCACACGATGTCAGCAGCACGGGACAGCGGTCTGCCACCCGCCCTGGAGAACCCGGCTGGGCGGACGCTGGGTGTGGCCCCGGCGGGTGCCATCCCTCCTCTACTCGGTGACCAAACAACAGCCTCGCAGAGGGGACGGCTTTAGGGGACGTTTCTATACTTCAGGTAACTGGACACTCAAGCCACCTGCACTTTTCACATCGCTCATTTCCCCAAGCTCCCTCATTCACCGCTGCTTGGAAACTCGGCTTAAATTTTTCAGAATGGTTTCTTAATTTTCCTTCAGATTAGTCACCTAAATTGGCTGGGGATAATATCAAGGTGACATGGAAACACGTCTGAGAAGCACTGAAACTTGAGTATGGGAAGTGATGTTAGAAAACAATTCCCAGCCATTACAAAGCAGGAGAAAGGCTCAAGACCGGCAAGAACATAACCATCACTGCATCTGCGCTCCAAATCTACGCCCGAGAATACTAAACCAACGTACTGAGATGCTCTGTTTTGCATTCTCATAAAATAAGAATTCTATGCGGAAAGACGGGGCAAATTACCAAATAAGCAAGCAGGTGTTTTTGGCTCTAAACTCAAATTTGGAGATTAATAACTTGAATGGCCTTAGTTTCAAGATTCACTCACTTATGTAGAACGACCATACTCTGACCAGGTCAGAAAGAGAGCAGGCCCCCTTGGAGTTCCTATCTGGCCTCAGAAGGGGCAGCTGACTTACAGAACAAGAGGGGAAACCACAACAAAGCAGTGGCCTGCGACGAGGCTGGGGGTGACCTGACAAGCACGTGGCACACCGCCCAGGGATGTGCTTTAGTGTGTGGCCCCGGCACGGCCCAGACTGTGGTCCACTAGTTATGAGTGTGATGCGTCTCTGCTACTCACACTGAGCAGTACCGTGTTCAGTGAGCCAGCATCTTTGGTTCACTGTGCTCTGGGGCGCATCGCTGTCTATTACGTCAGTGCCCTGGGCAGGTGGAAGTCTGTCTGTACAGCCTCCAGCATGACGCTGGGGCACAGCTCTCTGAGAGAGGAAGTGGATGGGAAAACGTAAACCAGTTTGTGTCGTTCTCCATCTCTCATCCTCCCCCCAACTCCACAGTTACTGGTTACTCTCAAAACTCACCCTCTGTGTCTATTCGCCCCCACCCATGTATCCACGCCTGCATGCATGCATTCAGTAGGCTACTGAGTACCTTCCTGCTGCCGGTACTGCACTCTGCTTCTGGAACTTCCATTGTAGTGGGAAAAGACAATACATAAACAAACAAGTAAGAAAATAAATTACATAATAATTACAGTTGTGTTAAGAAGAAAAAAATCCAAGTGTTTAAATAGCGACTAACTGGGGAGATCTATTTGGGATCCTGACAAGAAAGAGAGTTCCGTCCAGATGACTCAGATGGAGAAATACTGACGAGGCGACGCTCACAGGGGCATGGGCAGCCCCGGAAGAAGCACAAGAGCGTCGAGGCACCAGAACCAGCAACAGCAGAAAGCCGTCAAGGGGCCGGAGCAGAGGGTGTTGCCGCCTCCAGCGAGCGCTGGAGCTATGGAGGACGTGTCATCGACGGGGCTGCCGTGGAAGGACGCACCACGGCCAGCACCGTGACCCGAGGTGGAGAAGAAGGAGGTCAGCACCGTGACCCGAGGTGGAGAGGAAGGAGGCCGGCGCCGTGACCCGAGGTGGAGAGGAAGGAGGCCGGCGCCGTGACCCCAGGTGGAGAGGAAGGAGGCCGGCGCCGTGACCCCAGGTGGAGAGGAAGGAGGCCGGCGCCGTGACCCGAGGTGGAGAGGAAGGAGGCCGGCGCCGTGACCCGAGGTGGAGAGGAAGGAGGCCGGCGCCGTGACCCCAGGTGGAGAGGAAGGAGGCCGGCGCCGTGACCCCAGGTGGAGAGGAAGGAGGTCGGCGCCGTGACCCGAGGTGGAGAGGGAGGAGGGCAGAGATAACCCGACCTCTTTCTCCTCTCTGCTGCGGGGCCTCCTGTGGGTGGACGCTGCGCAAGAGTCACCTGGCAAGGGACTTCGGTGATATTTAATGTGCACAGAGTTGGACTTCGGTGTTGAGAATGGACTGGGGAGATGAGTGTGGGAGGGAAGAATGAAGAATAACCAGGGAAGGGGACCTACTTAAGTGGGAACAGTCAGGAAAAGCTTCCCCACGGAGGTGCCACCTGAACTGAGACTCGGAGAGAGGGTCCCGCCATGCGCAGAGCCAGGGGCAGCGTCACCCAGCAGAGAGACCAGTGAGCTCCTGCCTCTGCCGTGCTCCCTCCTCTGCACCCGCTCAGAACCGAGCCTCCCCAGGATCACCTCTAGCAGAGACCCAGGCAGCACGCGTGGGCCATTCCTCGGCGTGATGCTGTCATTCAAGTTCCGGGAGAGGCGACTGTCTCTACTCTACTTTCTTAAAACCACAGAAGAGTTTGCTCATAAACAAGGAGTGCTCCTCTCCAGGGCACTGCTCCCTGAGAGGCTCAGCGGTCTTGATTCCAATGTACACAGAGGGAAAACCAAGGAAGACACACTTAAAGGCGGGCAGGGCGGGCAGGGCGGGCAGGGGAAGCAACGGCGACTCCCTCCCCATCACGCGCCTCTTCTCTGCAGAGCTCGAGCCCCTACATTTGGAGATACCCTCATATCATGCAACCTACGTAAAAAATAAACATTTTTCCCCCTTAAATGAAGAAACACCATGAAGATTCAATTACAGTGTAATAGCAGTTAATGTATACCCATAATTTAAACTCATACACTCCTTTAGTTTTATATTTGCCTTTGAGTCACTGGGTGAAATGGATATAATATAAAGATCTCAAGCCTATTAATCCATATATCTACTGAGAAGTTATTTTATTTCTGTTGCCCAGAAACCATTTCTTTATATAGTTGAAGTAAAATTTTCAATATGAACAAGATCATCACTCGAATGGAATGATCTGACTTTTAAAAGCCAGTAGCGAGAAATTCACTGCTGCAGCCGGCGGGCCCGAGAATGGGTCAGCGGGCCTCCTGCTGGCAGCGGGTCGGCAGGCTGCCTGCCTTCCGCCCGTCTTTCCCGGCACGTTCCAGGCCAGTCCTGAGCAGCTGCCTGCATCGATGAGACCCACCGTCCACCATGTTCAGGGCTAGCCATTTTTTCCTCAAAGATCCTAAGGAATCGCCATGATCTCTACATTAGGCCTAAATTCCCTAGTGCCTATTTAACGTATTTCCTCTGGTTCTGTCCCGATGAATATAAAAACAGGTCATTCTTCCCCTTTTTGTGATGCGTGACTCCTGCCAAGGCCATGAGAGCTGTGGACAGACAGCAAGTTCAAGGACAGTGTTACCTGCAGAAGAGGCCGCTGCAGCCCCAGCACCTTCATGGTGTCCGCATTCGCCAGGATCTTCAGGGGGTCGGATGTTTTTGTGACCCCTTCAATCTCCTTGTTGATCTCAGTCAAGACTTGATTGAGAAAGATGTTTTTGATGTACACGGTGAGAAACTCTCGAAGAGGACACTGCTTGGCTGGGCCAAGTCCCAAGGCGTGCTCAACTTCCTGAATAAATCTGGAAGACAAACAGTAAAGTGGTTGTTTAAATGCATCAGAAAGATGGTTATAGAAATAGGACAAATCCACATGGATTCTCTACACTTTGGCTATTTCCATGGCGAGAAGCAGGGAAATTCCCAGAATTCTTAAGAGCTGGTCATCACTCTATAACAGTCATCTGTTTATCTCTCTCTCTCTCTCTCTCTCTCTCTCTCTCTCTCTCTATCTCTATCTATCCATCCATCCATCCATCCTATCTATAATAGTCATCTTTCTCTATAAATATCTATCTTTTAAACATATAAGTACTAATTAAATAGAAATAGGATAGAATAGAAAATGACTTCTAAACTAGGGTGGAAAAGCGACACAAAACAGTTTTATTAATTCAAGAAGTAAATATAAGCAGCAAAAGAAAACAAGATTAAAGAAAACAATTATGACGCAAATTTAAAAGCACACCCCAAATTTCTCACTGAGGTCTTTATATGTGTAGCTAGAAATGCTGAGAGTGAGCGAGCTAGAGAGAGAGAGAGACGGAGGGAGAGAAAGAGAGAGAATAAAGGGCATACTTTATCTATGATGACACATGAGTTGGGAGGTAACAAAAGTGAACAGGAGGGGAGATGGGGCAAAAGACTTCAACCTTATTTGTAATGACTTATTTCCTTTATTAAAAACACCGCATACATGGAGGATTGTTGATACCGCTGAAGCGCGGAGACAAGCGTGCAGGTGTTTGTCATATTATCCTCGGTACGTGTCCGTACCGGCAGTTCCTGCTTTGCATGCTCCTGAGAGATACAAAGCGAAGTTAATAATGCCTGTCCTCCAAACCCAGGATTCAAATTCCAGTTATCACAGATTGTTAACTGTGAGTGATGGCATAATGTATAAACTTTGAGGCTAGCTCTTCAGTCCAGAAACCTCTACATGAATAACTGATGTTCATCATGATCAATGATCAACCATTTCAAAGTGCACTGGTGACTGATCACTGCACATCTGTTATTCAGTTCAGATACAGACAGCCAAGTGTGCTGTGTGTTCCTTGTCTCCCAGTGATAAAACCATGTGGCATTTTACAAAGGATAATTAAAAGAGGGAATTGGCCAAAAACGATAAAAGTACAGAAAAAACTGAAAGTGGTAACAGTGGGAGTGAAATGAGAATTCATTGTAAATGAATTTACAGAAGAAAAAGCTGACCACGGGAATGTCGACACTGCCGCCACTTGAGAGGCAAATGCAGCCAGAGTGAAGGTGATCTTGACCTATATATGGGGAAAGTGGTTATGACAAAAGGGATGAAGATGGCCCAGAGGAAGCATGCTGGCCAAAAATGTCACATTATAAGAACTCTTTGAGATATTTCATGACATTGAAAATAAAATAATAATACACTGACGGTTGACCCAAACTTGGAAGGAGGTATGCCATTTCGCCAAGGCACAGAGAAGATGCTCGCTGTGTATCGTAAGTATACAATATACAAAGAGGGTGCAAGCATTGTTCCAACTACCCTTGATGAGATTTTAACAAATAAATACAGCACTTTATTTCTCAATGTTCCTAATACCACAGTGGATTAAGTACATTGCTATTTTTCTTATTTTTTCCATATTTTTCTATGTGTATTTATAACACTAAGAGAGTTTTTAACATATTGACAACATTTTTCAAGTCATGAAACAATTGTGATTTTCCCCAATAAGACTGCTCTGCATGGCCAATCCCACAATGCTATGCAAAGCAAGGGCTACCTTGAACTTTACCTTTTTCTCAAAAAAAAAAAAAAAAAAGAATAAAAATGAAATGAAATAAAAAAGACACCAAAATGAATGACTAACTGGGAAGATACATTTGCAATTTATATCACAGATGACAGATGGGGAAAAAATTGAAGAAAAATCACCAAAGGACACAGAAAGAGTGTATAGTGGCAGAAATACAGTGGCCATTAAACATAAGAAACTATTCCTAACTTGGTTCAGAATGAGAAGAATGGAGAGTACACCATCGAGATGCCATCGTCACACCCGTGCATCGGCCAGAGTCCGGAGGTCTGGGAGCATCCTGTTGGCCTACCTGTGAGGAGGCGGCACTGTCGAGGGCATGAAAGGAGGTAGAACTCTTACAAGAGGCGAGTGGGCACTATCATTCAAAACCACAAATGCACGTCTCTGACCCCGAAATCCTGCTTCTGGGAAATTTTTCTGACAGCCAAATCTGAACATGATTACACAAGTCGGCGCAGCATTGTTTTAATGGCAAAAGACTAAAAACAACTGAAAGCATTAATCAACTGGGGATCCCTGAAAGAAACCCTGGGGTCTCTGCACACGGGGATGCCAGCAGCGATGCACGGGCAGGCTTCCGAGAGACGCTGTTAACTGAGAAAAGACGCAAGGTGTCCATCAAGTGGTATTCAACAGTGTTTACTACACTAACTTTTGTGTGAGATCTATATATCCCCATTTGTTTATTATAAAGATACCCTGGGAAGTCTCATTAAAAACTAAAACTGCCCTGGCTGGTTTGGCTCAGCGGTTAGAGTATCGGTACGCAGACCAGAGAGCCCTGGGTTCAGTTCTCGCTGAGGGCACGAACCTCGGTTGCTGTTTGTCCCCGGTCCTGGTTGGAGTCGTGTGGGTGGCAACCAGTCGATGTGTCTCTCTCGCATCGATGTCCCCCCCCACCCCAATCAGGCTCTATCTGAAGATAAATGCAAAAATGTCCTCGGATGAGGATAAAAACAAAACAAGAAAACTAAAACTGAGTACTGCAGGAAGCAGGGATGGGATGGGGTCTGGAAGAGGAGTGGGAATGAGACTTTTCACTTGTAACTTTTTTGAATCCTCTGATTTTTAAAAACCACGAATATGTTAGCTACTCAAAGAAAATGAAATTAGAAAACATGAAAATCGCCTACACATGTCAGAGCCTACATTTCATTAATTGCTTTTTTTTTATCCTCAACGAAAACATTTTTGCATTTGTCTTCAGATAGAGTGGGAGGGAGAGAGAGGAAGAAAGAGAGAGAGAGAAACATCGACGCGAGAGAGACACACCGAGTGGCTGCCACCCACACGACCCCAACCAGGGCTGGGGACAAACTGCAACCGAGGTACATGCCCTTAGCGGGATTTGAACCTGGGACTCTGGTCCACGGGCCAACGCTCTAACCACTGAGCCAAACCAGCCAGGGCTCATTAATTGCTTTCTCACCAGACCACATTTAGAGTCTGGTGTGCAAAGGTTCCTTATGTTTAGCATACAGAGTTTCCTTCGCTTAATAAATAAATAAATAAATCGTGGTTGATCGTGCATATCACCAGTTACACACTCCGCTCCCTCCGGGGTGTGGCTGTGTGGTGGGAGGGGAGGAGCATACAGGGCTGTCACAGGGAGAAAGTAACCCAAAGAATGCAGGAAAAAGTAGCAACTAAGAAGTTGCTAGAATGAGAAACAGCAGTGAGGCTTGAGAGGGAAATAAATGCATGACTCAAAACAAAATATAATGGATCTTTAAGAAGAGTGAGTGGAAGCCCTGGCCAGTTTGGCTCAGTGGTTGGAGTGTCGGCCTGCGGATCAGAGAGTCCCAGGTTCGGTTCCCACTAGGGGCACGTACCAAAAAAAAAAAAGAGTGAGTGGAAGAAGGTGGGGAGAAATGAGGATATAAAGGTAGACGGTTATCCATGGCCATCGTTTCAAGATCTCCACACCCTGCTGACCTCATGTAACACTCAGAGAAACGCCCACAGGTACAACTTGCGCTCCTTGGTTGGCCTTTGAAAGAAAACCAGTCATTAATTTGCTAATGAGTAAATACAGCAAAGGTCTTATTTTATTATTTTTTAATATTTTAAGGATCAATCATCGGAATCTCTATTTATTCTTCTCAATGGGACTTAGAGAGTTTTCTGAGAAGTACTTCTTACATTTTTAAAATCTTTAACATTTATTAGAACAAAATGTTTAGTAGTCAGTCTGCTCCTAACCAGTGACAGAAGGCTCTAAATCATCCCATTTTCCTTGTTTCTCGTCCCTAAAATGTAACGCGGCGCTGAGCAGCACTGACGGCAGCTCCCACCACTTGGGCTGAGTGACTGCTTTCAAATACAGATCCCTGGTTCCCTAAAGCACACCCATCAGTCTAAAGTGACACGTCCAGGTTGATGTCATCTCCAACTCGAGGGGACCCTTTCGACATGTCTCCAAATCTGCTTTCAGAGCTGTGAGCCTCCCCCTGCGCACAGAGCTGTGAGGCCCCCCTGCGCACAGAGCTGTGAGGCCCCCTGCGCACAGAGCTGTGAGGCCCCCTGCGCACAGAGCGTGAACCGTGAGAGGAGAGAAGCCGGAGCTGTCTTCTCGGCCCCGCTTTTCCCCTCGTCAAGAATGGGCCACAGTCACGCTAAACAGGCAAACTACTCTTCCTAGGGCAGGAAGGGCACCGAATGAGCACCTGCCTGGGCAGCCGGGAGGTAGACCAGACTCCCGGTCACACTGTGGGAGGAGTCACTTAGGGAAGTCAGTGGCCAGAGCAGAACCGAGAGCAGCTTCTTCAGCCTCTGGGTCTTACTTCGTAGCCTGTAAGGTGGACACGGTAACACACAGGACTGTTCTAATGATTAAATGAAGAAATAAAGCGCAAGCACGCAGCACAGAGGCTGGCGCACAGTGCCCACTAGGAAAACGCAGCCGCCTGCACAGCTGACCGCAGCCCACGTGGCCAGGGCCAGGGCCAGGCATAACTGCTCAGGCTGTCTCGACAGCACGTAGTACGAGCACGGAGCAGGCTCGCAGGGTGCATTGGGTGAAGAAAGTGTTGAATAAAATAATTAACAGCCCTGGCCGGTTTGGCTCAGCAGTTAGAGCATCAGCCTGTGGACCAGAGAGTCCTGGGTTCGGTTCCCGCTAAGGGCACGTACCTCGGTTGCAGTTGGTCCCCGGCCCTGGTTGGGGTCATGTGGGTGGCAGCCACTCGATGTGTCTCTCATATCGATGTTTCTCTCTC